CAGAATGAGGGAGGCCAAAGGCTCTCATTCTCCACGGAGTAAAACGTTGACACTGCAGCCCTCTCACCTCATTTCTCTCACTGAAAGAGCTAGCTGGGCTTGGAATGGGGAAGTAGCATCTTCAGATTTTCCGTGTGGAACCCCTGAGAGAACCCAGGCTCAGAGAGTGGCTGCAGTGGATGGAGGACCTTGGAGTTGAGAACATTTCTAATAGAGTGTGGAACAGAGTATGGCTTCTTTCATGGCACAGAAACCGCCTGCAATGCAAGAGATCCAGGTTTGATCCTTGGGTCGGGAAGATCCCCTGAAGAAGGGAATGACAACCCATTCCAGTAGTCTTGCCTGGAGAATTTCATGGACAGAGGAGCCTGGCGGGCTACAGTCCATGGGGTCTCAAAGCGTTGGACACGATGGAGGGACTACCACTTTCACTTTCGCTAACAGAGTGTGGTCTCTGATCAGCCCCCACACCTAAGGGTGAATGTGGGACGGAGCAGACCCCAGGCCCCTGCCGGGTCCAGATCACAAGGCCCCCAGATGAATGAATGGTCAACAAGGCGCTGTGGGTCTCAGTGATGAACTGTGCAAGGAGGAGCAGGCTGAAGGGCAGAGCAGCCTGGAGCCAGATCTCCTGATGACGTGGAGAGGTAAACAGGGTGTTGGTTGGTGAGGGTTGTAGGGGCAGGGGGCATGGTGGAGTGGGTCCGGGGTTGGGCAAGCCTTGAAGGGGGAACAAAGGGGCCAAGAATCCTAGCTCACTTCCCCCCACCCCAAGGGAGCATGTGGGTGAGCAGCTGCCAATGGAGGGGCCAGGAGACAGGCCCCGGGCTGGTGGTGCACTGTGGCCGGACTTGGACCAGCATGGCCTTCCCGCACGCTGCTCGTTCTGCCCCCACCCCCGCTCATCAGCACCCCTGTAGAGGAAAGTGGGACCTCCCAGCACCGCTGTCCCACCGTCCAGCTCTCCCGTCACTGCTGGGTGCTGGCTGAACGGCTGTACGCTTGCAAAGCTGTGCACGGGCTTGAGCGGTCTCAGGGGAGAGAGCTTCATCTGTGCTTCAGGAGCCCGTGTGCCCGGCGACAGGCCAGCCGCTCGCCAGGCAGGGACACCACCAATGACTCTGCCTGCCACGTGACCGGACGGGGCAGGGTACCAGGTCCGGGCTGGGCTAAGTGGAGATGCCCGCAGCTTCATTCCCCCGCTGTGCCCACAGACGGAGACCCTTGTTGGGGACAGTCAGGGGAGTACACGAAGGGCGGTGCCTACTCTGGACTCACAGATGAAGGGGGGACATGGAGATGGCGAGAAGAGCCTGAGAGGAGAAGGGGACAGAGGAAGGGAGGGCCAGAAGTAGGAACTGTGCACTTTACGTCAATGGAGGGTTAGCCATTTCATAACATTCCTCTTCACCGGGTGGAAACGGCAGCGGGGAGCTGGGCAGAAGCCGGAGGTAGGATTCACCTCCACCAGAGGTTGCCAGGAGTTAAGATCTTGCGAGGAACATTCTAGCAATGACTTCCTTAAAGTCCTACCTGAGAGTCAATTAAGATCACTTTTCTTTAGGGACTTCCCTGGCAGTCCAGTGGTTAAAAATCTATCTTTCGATGCAGGGGTCTGGGGTTTGATCTCTGGTCCGGAAACTAAGATCCCATGTGGCAGAGGGACACCACTAGAGAAACCTTGAGAAAGCCTTCGTGCCGTAACAGACACCCAGCGAAGCCAATAAATAAATAACAAGATGACTTTCTTTAGCAGCAGGAGAGAAGCTTAAATGGTAATGATGGTAATAGTCCTAGTGATAATAGCAGCTGACTCTGCAGGACCACTGGCCCTCTTAAGTGCTATGTATCCTCACCGAAAAGGTTTTGAAGAGCTACAGAAGGGGGCACTAGAGTGCCGGGTGGGAGGGTGGGTCTGGGGGGGTCCCTCTGGAGGGCGCAGGCCCTGGTCCTGCCTCCACTGGTCCCTTCTTCCCCTTGTTCTGTCTCCCTTTGCCTACCTTCCCTGGGCCCGAGGAGGAAGCTGAGGCAGGCTAACTGAATGCATAACTTTATTAAATAAATGCTTTGTCACGATAAAAGACAAAGATCAAGGAGTAACATAAATTATAAGTTGAATAAATAGTATACAGCAATCTTCACTTCTTTTAATAAAACGTGAGATCCTCAGGGGTTTTTTGTTTTGTTTTATTTCCTTAGGTACAAAACACGAAACAGGAGGCGAGCTCTTCCACATTCAGGCGATTTTTTTTCCCCCCGCTTTTTCTTTTTTTTCCACAAACAGGTTTTGTTTGCTGGTTAATTTTTCATCCTTTTCACCAGTAAAGATTATGAGCATTTATTTAAAAACAGGAAAGTCAAAACAAAAAAAGAGGAGAGAATAACACTATGGTATGTATGTATGTCAAACTATAAAGAACTACAGTAATATGTGCTGTGATTATTGCTGTCTAAAAAAAAAACAAACAAACCGGTAGGCAACTCGGAATCTGAAGGAATCTTGTCTGACAACTGTCTATCCTTGTGGGCTACTGTGTGATGGTGGTGATGGTGGTGGTGGACGGTCCGGGACTCAGGCTGGTGGCCGGGGACCAGAGAGGTGGGGTAAATGGGTGCAGAGTGGCTGACCCACCTCCCCTTTCCTCCATCCAAAAAAAGTTAAAGAGAGGAGGCCAGAGTCTGTGGAAATAGCTAAACTACATACTCCATTAGGGAACCAAGAAAGGATGCTTAAAAAAAGACACCAAAAACCTATGAGAAAAAAAAAAGTAGAGAAAAGTGCAAAATAAGTCTTGCACTTTAGTGGTTTTAAAAAAAACAAAGACAGTACAACGCCCAGTACAACCACCTCTCAAAATACAGCCTCCTCAATCTTGGAAGCCAACTGTGTCTTCTCCAAGACCGGGGCATTACTTCTCCTTGGCCCACTCCTCTCTGCAATTCTCATCTGAGCTGGAGCCCTGCGGGGCAGAGCGGATGCAGGTGGGGTACTGCCCCACATAGAGAGGGGGGCTTGGTGGCCGCATGATGGGAGAGCGGTGGTCCAGGCCCACTCCCCCTGGGGAGGCTGGCCCCACTGGGTTACCATGGAGACCACAGAGGTGGTGATGGGAAAATGGGTGAGGGGACAGGAGGTGGGCCCACGCAGGGCCTCCTGTCGTCCCCCGAGTTGGGGCTGAATGTCTCCAGGCCTGTCTCTCCAGGCCTGGCTGTCTGAGAAACTTCCAAGTCTCTTCCGTCCCAGGCTGCCGGCTTTCCCCGGGTTGAGGTGGGGCAGGGACTCAGTCCTGGCTCGGACCCCCTCAGTCACCTGGCAGTTGTGGTGGAGACAGGTCTCCTCTGCTAGAGTGAGGCCTGAGTCAAAGGGAGATGGGACGAGACCTCCTGTTGGCGCTGCGGGCCAATGTTTAGATTTGAGGCCACGGAAAACCTGGAGCCTGAGGCCTCTGGGTGAGCAGACGGTGGCCAACAGGCAGCCTGGGGTCAAGAAGGTCCCTGCTTGGAACTTCACATCTGGCAGCTCGCCATACCTGCCTGCTCACCACCCTGCCAGGGAGGCCTCACTCTCCTCAACGATTCCCTCCCCCCTGGACTCCCACCCTGGGCTCCGTCTGAAGGCCCAGCATCCTCTAGGAAGTGGCCAGCAGACCAGGGTCTCCCCGCCCCCTCTGCAAGCACTAGAGAGAGACTCACAGATTTGGGGTTGTCAGCGTCAGCCCCGGAGATCTGATGACAGGGGTGGCGTTAAAGCAGGCCCTAACCCCCCACCTTGTGGCTGACTGCAAAGAGCCCATGGAAGGAGCCGAGGCCCCTTCAAGGTCCAGGAAACAGCGGGAGGAAAAGACGGCCCCCTTTCAGGAACCAGGAACCGAGTCCAGGCCTTGGCGGGAGGTGGTGGGGAGGGGTCTGCAAATTCCTGGCTCAGGCTTTTCTTAGGGGGAATGGCACCCCAGTATCCACGTGGCAATCCCAGTTCAGACAACTGCTCAAGATCCAGAGAAAGAATGGGCGGAGAGAAGGTTGAAGTGGGAAAGGCTGACGATACTGGCCTAAGACGTTGAAGTGTGGGTCGGGGGTTTGGGGACAGTGGGGCAGGAAGGGGCCACATGGACACATAGTAGGTCAAGGAAGTCCTCACAGCTGCCATCCCCATCAGGCCCTTTGTCCAATGAAGATCGATGCCTCTCCCATCCCAGCCAACCGTCCACTCCGAGGGAGCCAGGTACACTCCCCTAGCGAATCCCAGAGCTGCAGGCTTGCCACCAGCTAAAGTGTTTCTGCTCCTTAGCTGCCCCTCTGCACTGTCCCCGAGTTCGATGCTGGAGTAGTCTCCACAGTGTCATGTCGTCGGGGAAGAGGGGTGTGAGCTGCATTCACAGCGAGAGAGCTCTCCTTTGCTGTGTCCAAGCCCCGTCTCCTGGCCAGAGTTCTCCATCCTCAGAGCTGCCCGTTTGTTGCGGGGGTGGGGGGAGTCAGCGGAGGGTGGGAGCTTTCTTGGTTCAGAATCTTGGCTGCCCCAAAGCATCCGTTCACTGCTTGTCCTGCGCCTTTCTGCCATCTCCCACCCCAGGAAAGAAGCTGGAATGGGCCAGGGTGGACCAAGGGCTTGAAAGCCTCTCTAGCCTCCGTCCCTTACTGCAGGGTGAAGGCGGGCAGGTGAGCTCGTAGACTTTTCCCTTCCAAACCACAGTCGGTCTCTGCTTATCCTTATTCTTGTCCAGCTCCTACAATCTAGAACCCACTGAAAGTTCCTCACCTTCTCTGGCTCACAGGGCTGGGTTAAACTCATTTCTCTCTTACAACCTGTTTCCTTTTCTTCTTAAACCTCTCTCCTTCTTCTTAAATCCCAGAGGGCTAATCAGATGGGGACCCAGGGAAGAGTCTCCTGGCTTTGTCCCCTCTTCTTTTTGCTTTGCTCCAAAGCTAGGACGGGGCCGTCAGCCCTCTTCTCTCCAGCTCTCTGCCCTTCACTCCATCTACGCTGGCCTGAGCAATCACTTTTATGGTTTCCCCGTATTTACACTTTTCACCTCCATTTCCCTCTTTTGCCATCTCTCATGTCCGTCTCTCTCCTGCTCTGCCAGTATGAAGGCTGAGGGAGGCTTTCCAAATGCAGGCTTTGTCAAGATGAAATGAAAATGCTGGGCAGGACCAGGGAGTTGAACTTGGACCAATTGAGTTCTCTGGGTGTAGGGTCCAGAGACAGTAACTTCCCAAGGGTCTAAAGGTGAATGTGACATCCTGGGGAGCTTGGTGGGTACACTATTGGCTGTGCTCACCGACCTGGCTTGGTGGTACATGAACACACATGCACATGGGAAATCATGAAAAAAAAAAATCAACACCATGTCCCACAGAGGGCTGAGTTTGCTGCTGCTCATGGGAGGCAGGCAAAACTGGTTTTATGGGTTGTGTTAGAAGAATATGGGTTTTCTTGGTTTCCCCAGAATAAGGATGCTCTTCAATGCCCCCAGAGGAACTACTTGGAAAAGTTAATGCAAACCTTGACAGAAAGGAAGGAAGAAAGGGGTAAAAAAAAAGAAAGAAAATAGACTTATATGCCTATATATGACTATATGGAGCCTTGTAGATAAATACAAGCCCACTTTTTTTTCAGCCTATCCTCCCCCACGAAGGCTGTGTTAGCTGTGAATTGGATGCAATGAAGGACTGAAACCACAGGCTTCACTTGGTGCTGAGTTTTAGCCACCCTGGAAGCACATGTCTTCCCACTATCGGGGTGTGGATTGATTTCTCAGAGTCTGCATGGGGAGTGAAATATGCACACACACTTCATATTCATGGATCCCACTTTAGGAACACCTACCATCGAGTATCACTCAGTTATGGATCTGCCTTGTGTTGAGAAGGATGGAATGCATTTTCATCTTTGTAAATTGGAGGGAGAGAGAACACAGTGCTGGGGTGGGAGGAGAGGAAGGACAGGGTTTGAGCTGTGCGAGCTGCTGGCTGCAGGAGGAGATTGATCCAGGAGAGGCACTGACCCCTGTTGTCTTTTTCTTTCTCCCCCTGTGACCCATCCAAACTGGGCAAATTCCAAGTGTGGCATCAAAGGCCACACCGAGGGCTGCCGCTGCTCCGGCCCCGATGGCTGCCCAGCTCGGGCCAGGGCTGGACGTAAAGATGGATGCTTCTGGCCCATGCTCTGCTTCTCCTCGTGACTATGCATCCTCCTCTCTCTTACCCACGTCTGCTTTCCTCCCTTCTCTTTCTCTTGTTCTTCCTCTCTTGCCCTCCTTGTTCATTCAACTTGCCTCAAAAAGAAAACCTTTTTTTAAAAGAGGGGGGTGGTCTCCTTGGCTTTTCACATCTCTGTTGTTGCCGTTTTCAAAGTTGCGACCTTGCCAGAGATTCCGAGGTCCTCAGTTTCCTCAAATAGATAGATATATGTATTTTTTTTTCCCTTACATGAGATGAAATGAGTGGCGTCCTGGGGTGGAGGGAGGCGCTGGCTGGAGTCGGGGCTGGGGGTGGGATGGGGTGAGGGAAAGACGGGGAGGGGACGCATCACTCAACATTGCTGCTGTCGAAAGTGTGGCACTGAAAGTCCCCGTCCACATACTCCATGCCTGGCAGCTTCATCCCGTACTTGTCCACACACCAGCAGATGCCACGCTTGCGGCCACGGGAAGGTTTGCACTGGGGTGGGGAGAGGGACAGGCAGTGAGCATGGCTGTCCCCTGAGGCTCTGCTCCTTCCTAACCCGCTGCCTTCCCTGCCCCAAGACAGACTCTCATCTCCAAAGAGTTGAGGGGACTGTACCACCAACTCAATGGACATGACCTTGAGTTCACCCTTGAGATGGTGTTGGGAGTTCACCATCTCCCAACAGACTGGGAGATGGTGAAGGACAGGGAGCCTGGCGTGCTGCAGTCCATGGGGTCCCAAAGAGTTGGACATGACTTAGCAACTGAACAACATCAACACCCAACCCTTGGGGTTCTGGTGTCCACATTTTATGGGACAACCCAGGGAAGGTGCTCATTTAGGCAGTCTGTGCTTGGCTAGCTCTTTCAACTTTGTCTTATGTCACCCAAAACAAGTTGGTTTTTATCTCCAACTTGGTATTCTCCAGAGAGCGACATAACCTGATGATGATGATGATGATGCTGCTGATAAGGATGATACATTAAATTATTAAATAACGTGGTGGTGGTTGAGTCACTAAGTTGTGTCCGACTCTTGCTCCTCTGTCTATGGGATTCTCCAGGCAAGAATACTGGCATGGGATGCCATTTCCTTCTCTAGGAGATCTTCCTGACCTAGAAATCGAACCCAGGTCTCCTGCATTACAGGCAGATTCTTTATCGACGTATCTGGTTTCCCTTGGAGTTCAGCTGGTAAAGAATCTGCCTGCAATGAGGGAGACCTGGGTTCGATCCCTGAGAAGGAAAAGACTACCCGCTCCAGTATTCTGGCCTGGAGAATTCCATGGACTGCATAGTCCCTGGGGTTGCAAAGAGTCGGACACGACTGAGGGATTTTCACTTTCACTCTCGTTACTGACTGAGTTACGAGGGAAGCCCATTAAATACTAGTAATACTAGTAAAAGGCATCACTTTTATAGCTGTACCATATACAAGACGCCACTTAACACAACTATACTGTAGATACTGTTCTAAGGGCTTTACAAAGATGAGCTCATTACTCCTCATAATCATGTGAGAACAATAGGGACAATTATTCTCCACTTTACACGAGAAACTAGCGCTGGAGACATTAACCGACCAGGGTGGGAGGACACAGCTAGTAAGCAGGACCCCCAAGGACTCCCCCTAAGTTGCCTGGCTCTTGAGCCCTAACTTAGATGTTGTGGTTGTTTAGTCACTACATCGTGTCTGACTCTTTGTGACCTCATGGACTGTAGCCCATGAGGCTGCACTGTCCATGGGATTTCCCAGGCAAGAATCTGGAGTGGGATGCCATTTCTTTTAGGGGAACTTCCTGACCCAGGGATCGAACCCGGGTTCGGGTGCAGTAGCAGGTGGATTCTTTACCCCTACGCCACCATCTAAGGGAACTTAGATGAGGGGTGCCTTTATGGAGCATCTGCGTCACTCGGGAGGGAACTTGTTGGAAACGCAAGTTCTCAGTCCATCCCAGACCCACCGATCAGAAGCTCTGGGGTGGGACCCAGCAATCCGTGTGATGCCGATGCCCTCACGTGCACTCCTTAAGAAGCTTAGATGACCGGTTAACAAAGGGTAGACTGGCTGTGAATGGGTCATGAAATGATTTCAGGAGGTACATGGTAAAAATATATTTTAGAGTCATATGTGTGTGCATCCTAGGTCACTTTAGTCATGTCTGACTCTTTGTGACCCCATGGACTGTAGCCTTGTGACCCCATGGACTGTAGCCTGTCAGGCTCCTCTGTCCATGGGATTCTCCAGGCAAGAATACTTTATTGGGTTGCCATACTCTCCTCCAGAGGATCTTCCTGACTTGGGGATTCAACCCATGTTTCTTGCATCTTTGGCATTGGCAGGTGGGTTCTTTACTAGCACCACTTGGGAAACCCCATATATTTATGCATGTGTACCAGAAAACAACACAGACAACATGGGATGTGACACAGTGATAGAAAGTTTCCTTTTAGATGAACTCATGTACCTATGGTGAATCATTAAAACATGAGTAGATTACAGTGTAGGCGGGAACGGGGTCAGTCGTGATTGTGGTTGGAGCAAGGATACTGGTGTTTTGGGACACAGTGTTGTTAATGACAGAAATCCAAGCATTTAGAGGTGGAGATTTGGTGGCGTTAGTGGTAAAGGAGTGGGATGCTATTTTTTTCTTTACGGGATCTTCCTGACCCAGGGATTGAATCTGTGTTTCCTTCAGTGGCAGGTGGATTCTTTACCCCTACATGGCCAGGGAACTTAGATGAGAAGACCTAAGAGACTCAGGTTCCATCGTGGAGGAGGGCATGGCAACCCACTCCAGTATTCTTGCCTGGAGAATCCCATGGACTGAGGACCCTGGCAGGCATGGGGTCCACAGGGTTGCATAGAGTGGGACACGACTGAAGCGACTTAGCGTGCATGCCCTGAACGTGGGATATGGGATGGGGCATGCCTGCTTTCCTTCTTTCTTTTTTTTTAAGTTTTACTGGAGTCGAGTTGGTCTACAATGCTGTGTTAGTTTCAGGGGTACAGTCTCTTCAGTAAGTGGAGCTGGCGACACTGGATGTACCTGCTTTCTCTTGTAGAGAAAGAGCTTCACGTACCTGCTTTCTCTTGTAGAACCCTTTGCGGTCACAGTTGGGCAGGTACACGGCGCGGGGCACCATCCGCGGGCTGGCCTTGAGCTCCTGCAGGGACGCCTCCATGTGCCTTCGGCAGGGACCCTGTGTGCGGATCGGAGGCGTGAGAGGCGTGGCCAGGCCCCGGGGAGTCACCTAGACGTGCGGAATGCAGTGGCCGAGGTGTGTGGGTCAAGGGTCTGCACGGAAACTCACCACCTTTGGTCGAGATTAGGTGCTACCCAAGGTCTTCCTCTGCCTCCCGTGCCATGCATGACCCCTGGGTGTATAAAGTGCTACCACGCATGCTCATTTAGATAGCGGGGGCGGGGGGGGGGCAGGTTAAAAGCTGCGGGTGGCAGAGACCGAGAGTGCGGATATAGAGGGAGATGGAGAGAGGGTCCTTGAGCCTCACCTGCTCAGATTCCTGTCTCATCTCGGGCGCCGAGATGACCCGGGGATGGGCGGTGTTCTCAGCTCCCCCCACGAACTTGGACTGCGTCAGCTTCTTTCTGCGGTCCTTCTTCACAGCCTCGGCCTTCAGCTCGGATATGCGGGTGTGCTTGGGCCGGAAGATCTTGGGCGAGTAGGTCTCCTCCGCCATCTCGGAGGTGGTGGGCTCCTCGTGTTCACGGGAGTCTCTCTCTGCGGGGAAAAGCGGGTGGAGGATTAGCTTCTGTCGGCTGAGAGTCAACCATGCGGAGCCCAGAGCTCCAAGCTTTGGAGCGAGGAGACGGGCTCTCTGCACCCCCATGGGGCTGCCCAAACTGGGGAAAGGGGAATGAGCATCAGGACAGAAGCCAACACGCCTGTGAGTGGTGGGAAGTCCAGAGGAGCAAACCTAGGGTGACTTCGTGGAGTAGGAGAGTGCTGGAAAAGTCAAGCTGATACAAGGAGGGAAGTGACGTAGGGGGAGGAGGATAGTCTGGGGGCAGGGAAGGCACTTGTTTGCTGGGAAGTGGAAATGGACGTGGTAGTCGCTCAGTCCCGTCCGACTCTTTGTGACCCCAGGGATTGTAGCCTGCCGGGTTCCTCTGTTCATGGAATTCTCTAGACAAGACTACTGGAATGTGTAGCCATTCCCATCTCCAGGGGATCTTTCCAACCTAGGATTGAACCCAAGTGTCTTGCATTGCGGATAGATTCTGAGCCACCAGGGAAGGCCCTGTATGGTGGTGGTGGTGGGGGGGTGGGGATCTGGCTAAATAGATGGGGAAGTGGCTAGAGGTGGGGCCGAGGTGTAAGAACACCATCTGGAGGTCAAGGCTGTCGGAGGAAAGGGATTGCCAGGGCGTGGACAAGAGGCCAAGTCCATCCTCTAGTGAGATCTTCCCACTTTTGGAACCGTTGGAGTTGAGATACATTTGCATTTGGGGAACCGGGGGCAGGAGGGCCCTGGGGTGTCTGGACTAGCAGGGTGGGGGGGGAATCATAAGAGGAACAGGAGGAAGGGACCCGGGAAAGCCAGAAATGTGGGATCCGGAGGGGATCAGTGCAGGCGGGTGGAGGTGGGGGGCATGGGAGCCTGAGGCCTTGCTCCCTGCTCAGAGCTGGCTCTGTGCTCTGTGCCCTGGGACATAACAGCTCCCGGCCAAGAGCGGCAGACAGCTGGCTGGGGCTGGAGTGGTTATATATAGCAGTGACTTGGTGACAGTCTATACTTAGCTGACTTATGACCTTTAAAGAACTAGGACTTTGTTCATTTATTTGTTGATCTTTTAATTCCACCCCCCACCCCCCAGCCTTTGGCCTTTTCTTGGTCCACAGATTTCCATGAAATTCCCCTCTCACAGGCACCCTCCCCTGGGCCCCTCCTCTCAGCTCGTGACCCCACCGGACTGGGATTGCTCTTCCCAGGTGGGCAGGGCATGGCCAGGATGCCCAGGGCCAGAGCAGGTGCAGGGCAGGATGGCCGGGGGCAGGGAGCCCTGTCTTCCCTGCTCTCTTTTCTTTTTCAGTTCTGGAAAAAGAAAATAGGGCTTTGGGGTGGCCCTGGAAAGTGGAAGTGTTAGTTACTCTTTGTGACCCCATGGACTGTAGCCCGCCAGGCGCCTCTGTCCATGAGATTCTCCAGGCAAGGATACTGGAGTGGGCAGCCATTCTCTTCTCCAGGGGATCTTCCTGACCCAGGGAGGGAACCCCATTCTCCTGCATTGTAGGCAGGTTCTTTACCATTTGAGCCACCAGGGATGAAGGGAAATCCTCCTCTCACTGGGCTCCCCAGGAGGCGAGAAGAGGTGTGGAGAGGGAGCAGTTTGGTGAGAGGACAGCTGCATATCCCCAGGGCAGGAGTTCTCAGCCCAGGGGAAGTTCCAGGTGTGTGTTGAGGGAGGCATTTGGAGACCCGGCCTCACCTGGTTAGGATGGCAGGTGGCAGAAAGCACCTGAGCACCCGTTTGTCTTTTGGCTCAGAGTTTGTCGGATTTAATCGAATGGGTGTCCAGCGTTTAAGCCCCTTTAGGGAAGCTCCCCTAAAGAAGCCTCCAGAGGTGTGCAGTGTTCTGGGTGGTTAGCTGATCTGGGTATTTATCCACAGGAGAGGAAGGGAAGTAGTTTCTGGAGTAGAAGGTGGGAGGAGGCACATGGCAAGAGAGTGGGCAGCCTCTCCCCGAAGAGAACCCAGCACCAGGGTCTCTGACCCCTTCTGGCCTTTCACTCCCTCCTCCCACCACATCTCCTGCCCCAGGCTCTGCCTCTAGTTTATCAAAACCCGCTGGGATGATGAACCGACACGGCGATGCACTGAGTCCGTGGAGTGGAGCCTTCTGGGGATTAGCTGACCATAAACCAGCTTTGTGGCATAAACCAGCTTTTCTTGGTTGTGGGATGAGCCGCGATGGGGGTAGGAGGCAGGGCGGAACAAGCTGATTTGGGGGACTCTGTACAAAGTGAAAGATTAGGGCTCTGTTATCTAGTAACTCAGGCCCAAACCTGAGGCTCAGATCTGGAAGAAGTTGGTTGAGGAGAGGAAAAGCTGACCATGGCCTGGTCCCATCTTACTGAGTGACCTGACCTGTCACTCATCCTCCCTGGACGTCACCAAGCATTCTGATTGTCACCTGAGTGGTGCGGCAGGGGAGATGGCAAGAGGTGGTTGCCGCGGAAAGGTTGGGAGCATTGTGGGGTGCACGGCCACCCCCTTCCCCAGTCAAGCTTGTAACCAGATGAAGGGAGGAGAAGTAGGGCCAGACAGCCGGGTGCTGACCAGTGCGTGGAAGAAGGGTGAGCTTTCATCTGGAGCCACAAGTACATGCATCCATCCCAGTGGTGCTCGTTCTAGTTCTTAAAGACATCTGGGCTGAAGGTGCCACTCACTGTCCTCTGGCCACCTCTTGTGTCCCTTTGGTCAGAGGGCGTTATCCTCCAGATGCCGTTGCACTTTCTCTTACCGAGCTTCTGGCTCTGGCTTTGGTGGTCGTGCAAGTACATTGGCTCATGCCCCCTACTCCCCACCCTGCCATCGGGAGCTCTTCTCAAGACTCTTTATATTTTAGGATCTTTGAGAAGTGCTGTGGGCTGCCCTTAACCTGGAGTCACCTTTCCTGGGAGGAGCATGGGCTGTTCACAATGGTTCAAGAAACTTTGGGGCAATTTACTTAGACCTATCTGAGTCTTTCCTGTGAAGCTGTTAGCCTTGAGACTAAGCAAGGACAATACTGGGGAACAAAATTCTTGTACCTTCTTTGGTAGACTCTTGTACCTTCTCTGTGTTAGTTGCTCAGTCACGTCTGACTCTTTTTGATCCCATGGACTGTGGCTCACCAGGCTCCTCTGTCCATGGGGATTCTTCTCCAGGCAAGGATACAGGAATGGGTTGCCATTCTCCAAGGAACTCCAGACACTTTTGCAAACCCTCTGTCCTTCCCCTGGCTTCACTAAGGCAGGCTTCCCTCCCCAGTTTGCAGTCTCTTTGGCTGCTTCTGAAGGGCAGGCTTAAAGTTTTGATGTGCCTCCCAGGTTGTGCCGCCACTTAACCCCATGGGACCTATTACTTAGGCAGTGGGAGAGTCAAGTATCAGATACTAATCAGGGTCTTGTGGTCACCTGTAGGTTCCAGAGAGACAGTGGAAAGTTGGATCAGAGCCAGGGCAGGAACCTGGAATATCAAAGGGCTGGAAAGTAAGACTGGAGCTGGGATGCCAGAGCCAGCTAGTCCTACTCAGCTGCTCTGAGGCCGAGTCATAAATAGGCTTGAAATTTCGGTAGGGTTTAAATTTTAGATAACTCAAGAAGGCACAGGCAGACTGGCAGCTCCCGAGCTGTTTCATCAAAAGAAAATGGGTCAGGGTTGCAAAAGGATTTAGGACTTCCTAGCGAAGTTGCGCTGCAAGTGAATAGCAATCTCTTAGGTACTTAACAATGCAGTAGGTTCTGGAACTGTCACCTGGCAGGTCAGTACCTGCATATGGCCAGTAGGTGGCGGAGGAGACTGGTGGCTGCAGAACAGGCTTCCTCGTAGGAATTGTAAGCAGTTCTAAAATCTGGAACTTTTTGTGGTCTCCTTTTACTTCTCTGACCACCACCCCAGTCTTCCCCTCTCAGCATGCATTTAGAGTCAGGAAGATGGATATGCATAGACTGGGAAGGACCTACGTGAGGCCAGGATGGCGGGGAGGGGACAAGGCCATCAGTGTGTAAACCCCGGCTGTTTCTTTAGTCAACAATGCAAGCATAATGATTAGGGAAAGAAGGGAAGCAGATCAAGGACCTCCCTTCCTATCTCTAGCTGTCCTTTTGAAAGGATTCTGCAGAGAGCGTTCACTGTTGTCCCCTTCTTTGGGAAGCTGTGGAAGCAGGACCCTTTAATTCAGTGTCTTAAGAAAGCGAGGGCTCTCACAGTGTCCTCATAGTTATCTGTAGGCTGAGTTCCGATTCTCTGCTCTGTTCCGCCCCTAGTCCTGCCAGCTGGCTCTCTGATGGTCCCAGCCCTGCCATGTTAGGGCAGCCAACTCAGTTTCTGCTTCATTCCTAAGATGCTGCCCACTCATACTGATACAGCATCCACTGAGGCACCACCCTTGGCAATACGAAAAACTGCTTGAGGACTGTGTCATCCTCATGTCAGTGAACTTTTTTTTTTTTTTTTGCTGTGCGGCTTGAGGAATCTTGGTTCCCCAACCAGGGACTGAACCCAGGCCCTGGCAGTAAAAATGCTGAGTCCTAACCACTGGGCCACCGGAGAATTTCCCCAGTGAATGTTGAGGGTGTGTGGGTGCAGGCCTGGCCGCTGTGGACCCAGACGCATCCCCAGTTGGGGCGGGGGGCACTTCTCACAGCACAAGCACCAATGCATCTTCCTTCCCCAAGCTCACCACGGAGACCTGCTCCTATGGTTGAAACTACAATCGAACGTTCTACCCTGGGGTTCTTGGTCCTACCCTGGCACCATCAACAGCCTGGGCCCAGACTGGTGGCCGTTTCCCACGCTATCTTGACTTAATAGTCAAAACTAGAGAAAAACGGGTGGATCAGATATTGCAACTTTGCTTACGGAAATTGAAGAAGCTGAGGCGTACTTGGAACTCGCAGTGCAGGAAGGATGTAGGGCTTTGCCAGGCCACCTGGACCTGGGAGAGGAAGAGTCTCTTTTTCTTGCCAGTAGGCAAGAGGGATTCGCCCAGAATTTCTCTGCCAGGAATGAAAAG